TGAGATAGTAAAGAACTTTTTGTCGAATAGGTTTTAGAGCACAAAAGACATAAAAAAGGTTTGGACAAAGACATTACGTATATTACGTATGATCATCAGATTAGTGTAACAATGCAGATATCACAATTTTATATCACACCAAATGAGTCCGATTAGCCCATATGGATAGATCGACTACCCAGGTTACTTGTTACAGGTATATATAGTTATGCAAAAAATTTCACTTGAGTCTTTACCTCTTGACGATAGGGCCTTTGACTTAGTATATTATATATTCGAAAGGGCATAATCACCATTGCTGGTGGCTCAGTACTTTGGCTTGGGTGGTTTTTCAGTCCACAAAATAAACTTACTCTGTTCACATAAAATATAATTTTAATCAATTTTTTATTTATTTTTATTTATTTTTTTCTCTTGCTTCTTAATCAACTATAACAACTGACTTCGAGCGATAAAATCACAAGGTAGTAGTATGATCTCAAGAATAGCATTAGAAAAACGGTAGACAACTATTACAAATAAATTTATACTATTATTTAATCGAAGGATATTAAGTCTATCTCCTTTGTATTTTTTCACACAGAATTGAAATATGCATCAGCAACATGGTCCAAACTAGTCCTGCTAGAAATGGTAAGCATATTTGATTGATCACTCCAAAGATTTTTAATCTCAGGTGCATTTACACTATGTTTACATGAGTATCTCGAGAGACCACCAATTAATACAAAAGGCTTTGGCGGTAATGGCTGAGGAGTCAATGAACGTGGCTCATTAATCAAACTAGGCGTAAAGCTTTTAATTTTCATAGACTTAATTGGCACAATATTTTGTGTACTTTCATCTTGCATTTTAGTTTTGGAGCATTCATTATCCCAATAATTTTGCATCAAGTTTTCCGATTTAATCTCATAATCCCATCTACGCCATCCGTCCCAATATACCTTTTTCGGCTCTACTTCAGTAATCTTTACCAATCGCCAGCATTTAAAGCATATAGCTATTTGACTTTTATGAACTTTAGGTCTTCGATAGCTGATATGCTCTATTTTCAACCTGTGATTTTCGAGGTACATTCTAATGTTTCCCTGTCCAAATAAACCAAAAAAGCAGTATACATGAAAGATACTAGGTCTTTCTCTAGAACATAATTCTTGCAAATCATCTTTTATACGAATAGCCCACTGTTGAGGTGTTTCGTGGCATCTAATAATAGCTAAATCGTCGTATTTTTTTTCTAGTTTGCACATATTTTCAACATGATTATAGTTATAACTATTACCTTTTGCTAAATCCTTTATTACATGATCTAAATCATATCCTGGACAGAGGTTAACAGGTTTGGGTACAGATTTATTATAAACCTCATCAATAATGATTGTAATTGGATTGGTCATATTTATTAACAAATCAGTGTTTTATTGATTTATAGCATTTTTTAACAATTTATAGCGTTTTTAGTGATTCTTTATCAACCTATATTAAGGAATATCGCGATTCAAATTTGTAGCCGAAAATGAAAAAAAAAAGTAAATATACACTTCATAGATTTTTATTTCATATCGACACTTTCTTGCATATATTGCAAGTAAATATTAATATATAAATTTTATTTTCCAATTGTGATCTCAAGAATAGTATTAGGAAAATGGTGAACGAATAAATATATTTAATTGAGTTTATCTACTTGGATGCCTTTTCGGAGTATACATCACATGCAAACTACTATCAGTTATAGATATGTCAAAGGTAATCAATTTCTGCATCTTTGAGCTTGCGAGAGCGCAGTAAAAAGTTTTATGAATTAGCCGAGGCATTTTTTTCCTTCCGCTTCTGCCTCACCTCTATTTCCTTCTATAGATTTAATGGAGTGTCGAACTTTAGTCGAATTGCGAGAGGATCATCCTCTGGCCTACTGAGATCAAATACAACAAACTCACCTTTGCGGAGGTAGCTATTAATAACCATGGATGCACTCTTTACATCATCAGTATATCATCCAACAATCTTAGACACGTCTTGAATACTGCTACCAGAGTTAAATAATACTAAATGAGTTGAGTTTTCGCGAATAAATATATCGACTTTATGATATTTTTGCGTTACATATATACATGAAATATTTCGGTGACGTCCATTCCCAAAAAACTGACCAATTCGATTTTGTATATGCTCTGGAGCTAAACATAGATCCTCAATAATAATTAATTTGCTTCTTTCAGGCGAAAAAGCTCTTGTACTAGGAATTCTTTCAGGAGGAATGTAACTGAAACTAATATCCTCATAGTAAGGCGCTCTTGAGTCTTTTGAAATCATATTATATATGTATCTCACATATTTCTATTTTGGCTCATTAGGATGATACCTACAAACAATTAGATCATCACATTTAATATAGCGAGACCCACCTTTTTTCCCTCTTTGCACATATTCATCCTTATCACCAAGAACAAGATTCACAAGTAAATTAGTCTTACCTGTACCACTTCTCCCAGTAATTAACATGCTAAAAAGCCATGTCATCGCCAGATGGCCAATATTTCGAGATGATTCATGTTTTGTGACTTCATCCATATCCAAAAGACGAAGTTTCATAGGAGATATTTCTGTCTTCGAATTCTTCCGCATAGTGGGTTGGAATTTCATATCTCTGATTTTTATTAAAGGGAGTTATATATTTTTGAAAAAATTTTTCTTTATTAAGGGGTGATATAAAAGAATATAGATGAGTGAATATGGACCGCAGGAAATATATGATTAGTAATAGTATTATAAGAAAGATCACAAACTGAAAAAAGTAAGTATCAAATTTCTTATTACTGATAGGTGCTACTGAAGAGCAGTCTCTATAGAGACCCCAGGTGGTTTCAGGGCTAGCATTATCGTTACCTTTCTCCTGTTCACTTACACCTGGTCCCTCTAAGACCCTCCAGCCACTTCAGACTCGCTGGATGTTTTTGGGATCTGTTCGGCTAAATGAGCTTTATTTAGGACTGCTTCTTGAAGGAGGGTGTCTTTCTCTATCAATGCTCTTTGAGTTGTGACTAAATTATCTTTCATCTGTGCCAATTCATTCTTTTTTTCAGCTAATGTATCTTCTAAATCTTTTTTCTCTAGATCTAGGTAAATATTTTTAGTAAATAGTTCTGTATTTTCCAGTTCTAATTTACGTTTGAAAGAATCCATTTCTGTTAACTCCTTCTGTACTAAAGAAACACTCTGCTCTAATTCTTCTACTCTTGATTGAAGAGCCCGTATCTCTTCCAATTTTGTAGCAATCTCACCTTTGATATTATCAAAGGAAATATCTTTGTGAGTGATCTGATTTCTGAGTTTTCTCACTTCGTCTTCAAGCTGACATACACGCTCTGAAAAGCTCTCATTATTTTTTATCAAGAGATTGCATCTAGTACCAAGCTGAATACCCGAGCTCAAAGCAATATCTAGGTCACGCTTTGTACAAGTAAGTTGGTTTTCAAGCTCTGTTTGGCTGGGCGGATATCGATTAGATAGCGAATCTCCAAGTTTATTGCTAGACAGAGCTACCCCACCATTTATTTCATTCAGCATATACACATTTGCCATATAATTTTACTTGAAGGTAGATATTTTTTTTCTTGGAAATTTTTGGTAAAAAGAATCAGAATCAAACTAATAACAAACCAATAATAAACCAGTTTAATATTTAAACTATATACATCTCAAACCTATTCTTTATTTGGATTATGGTTATAGCAAGCTACGTGATAAGGAAAGTGAATTTCCTATATATATCAAACTAATATCTGACCAATATCATACCAAGACCAAATAGATTGCGAATAAATTTTTTACAAGTTTTTTATTGGTATTATACAAATTTATTATTAACAAATTATGAATAAAAAATTATCAACCCGTACTTGTAAATTTCTTAGATCAGATGCCACCCGCTTGTCACCCGAAGCCATTGAAGAAATCAGAAATGCTCAGAATAATATTCCAGATGCTCGACGTATTATGTGTAAAAAACATCATATAGGAGCAATGACATATCAAAAAATCATTGATAATCAGAGGCCTCCTAAACCAACTGAGGAGTGGCGTAGAATCTTAGAATCTGTTAGCATCTCTGATCGGATTTCAGAAAATAACCAAGAATCTTTACAGCTGGTAAGTGCTGAGCATGATACCTCCTCTACTAACATACAAGAAGATGAGGTCGTTCATACAGAGCACCCTAGAGATGAAGAAGATAGTGCAAATTCCCATATAAGGCTAAATACAGTAACTAGCGAATGAAAAGATAAGGTTAGTCGGAAAAAAAAGGCTAGTACAAAGGCAAAAGATGAATCTTCACCAGTGGAAAAAAATAGAATAATCAATTCTTCCAAAGATGATACATCAAGACGAGAATCTGATCTTAATAAATTATTAAATATTACTGGAAATATTGTTACACATCTGATATTTTCTCTATAAGCTTAGAGTATCTTTCAACTAAAATTTTACTTGCATTTAATGCTAAGTCAAGCCATCCCTCAGTTTTTAAGAGACGCTTTTCAAGCTCTTTGCACTTTTTTTTAAATCATCCTCACTAGTCAGGCTGAAGGAATCGGTAGATACTTGGATTGAATCATGCAGACTCTCTAGAATCTGCTTCTTTTTTGGTGGATCCTTAGCTACTGGGGCCTTGCTATATGTTGGAATAGTGTAAGTCTTCCCATATAACTTCATTCAGAATTGATTTTTATTCGGATCAAGAATACCTTGAACTTTTCAAATCTATGTTATACCTAAACATAATATTGGTTTGGGTTCACCATTATTAATATGAGCAAAATTTCCAGTAGCTGTAACAATCTTACTATCCTTGTCCTTTACACTAATTGGCACATCTGTATACCATCCCAATGATTCGGATATATGTTTGGAATTACCCTTTATAGC